TCTCCGTCGTCCCGCGCCCTCCCCGCAACGCGTTCTTATCTTCGAGCATCTGCAGGCTCAATATTAGAACTTGTTATTCAAATTTCTTCTCTGTTCTTCATATCTATCTCGCCGGAAACTCATCACAAGCCGGCGGTCTTTTTCATTTTTATTGGAACGATGTGGCCGGGCGTGCACACTCTTATTTCCATAATCCTCGTGTAGCCACCGCTAGTCCGACTTCAGAGGCGTGGGCGGTGGCGGCGGCGACGCGAGCGACTTACGTCTGGGTGGGCGCGGCCGGGGGCGCGGAATGCCCGGAAGAGCATGGGACACACATCCAATGCGTTGGCTCTGAAGAACTAACGGGGAGTAGAGAAGCAGCCGCTCGCTTTCCGTCTGGAGTTGGTAGGGTTCGCAAAGAATCTGCGAGCTTGAAACGTCAGGAAGACAAGCTTATTTATTAGCAGGAACCTCGAGAGTGAACCTATGAGTTTCGTGTTAGATTGTCAACTTATTTGAGTAGTTACATACCAGTAATTAACATTTTTAGTCAGCCCCTCAGGCGACTCCTCGGCAGCCGGCTAGATCTCTGTGAGGCGGTCTCGGGTTCATTTCCCCGTCGGGGCAAAAATTAAGTTCTAACTTTCTAATAAAGTAATCGTCTCAATGTCCACAGCAGATGTGTGCCAAAAGAAAAAGCTTAGGCAATCCAAAGCGCGATAGGGATACGTATGTAGTCACATGTTTCCCTTACCCCCAAGCGTAGATAATAAATAAAAACGGCCCAGGCTTGGGAACACCGTTTGCAGTCAAAAGTCAGATTAATTCGACTCTAAAATGCCAAATACATAGAGGTATTTTTATTATATACGGTGTATTATATTTTTAGAAAATATATATTTTAATCATACAAACAGGATTTATTGACTAATAAAATTTGGATGTTAGGTTTTTGCCCCTTGAAAATGGACTATTAAATAATTAATAGTATTTAAATAGTAAAATAGAGTATCCTTAATAATTACTAGAAATAATATCTATTAAAATTTGACATACAGTAATTAATAGTATACGGGAATGAATAATATACTCACTTCTTGAGTTTCCTTATAGCTAATATTTTGTTTGAAAACGAGTACTAAGTGTTTCAATGTACAAAATTAATTCTGTAATAATCAATATATTTTTTTACATGGTATATCATAAACAATTTTTCATGAATAGACATTGTAAATCTGCTACATTTTGGTAGTAATTACTATTTATTATTTCTATATAAGTAAAATATTTTAAATTTACTTTTTTATTTAAGGTTGTTTTTTACCTGCTTGGTCTTATAGCGCTTATAGGTCTTATGGATTTTTAACATTGAGGTAACTATAAGGGGAACACATGAGGACAATATGAACACACACAAACATCCATTCTCTGGGCGGGATTCGAACCCGCGACCCTTCGAGTAGAAGTATCGTCAACCCTTCAGTCTCGGTTATCTCGGCTATCAAGGTCAGTCGCAGAGGCAGTATTATTCAGATTTACAGAAAATAAGGGCCGCTGTTGAAGTTGGGAATCAAGGAGACAGCTAAGGGGATTTTCGTGTCTATTAGCGTTCATTTGCAAATTTCTTTGTTTTCGATTGCATTGTAACAATGTGCAATCTATCAATGCCAGTGACTATTGAAAATTCTTTTCAAAAACTGTGTATATCAATATGGAAAGCATTACAATATATCACAAACAATTCCAGGTCAATTGCAGTCAATCTCATCTTTTTGTCGCGAAAAATATTTCGCAGAATAAAACAGCGAGGACAAGCAGAAAGACGAAATGTGTCTTATTGCCTTTATTATTAGGGGTAATATTTCTAAAGGAAGTATAATCCTTTAAATGCTTTCTTTGTGACTTATGTCTGAGTGAATTCACTAATATCTTGTGATGTCAATTCATTAATTGTTTTGCACAAGCCAACCATTTCAGTTCGAAAGGTACTCAAAGAAATGTTTTTTTTCAATTATAGAAATCTATCACTGCAAATAAATGTTGTATGTGCTATTACACAAATATCAGGTGAATAGTAATTGGATCACATTCTGCTGAATAAAATATTTTTTTAAAGGAATTATTGATGAATCATTGGTTTTAAAATTTTGCTAATGCTCTAAAGAAATTAAACCGTTAACTTGCATTTTAATTCCATCTTGAAAGTCACTAACATAACACTGACAAAAAATGCCACAAAGTAGTTCCTGGCGTAGAAACTACGTGGATTTGTTCATTTCAGATGAAACTAAAACTTATTTCTTGCTTTCAAAATAAATAGTTCTCGGATTATGCCCTTTGTACATAATTTATAATGAAGTCATGCAGAAAGAATAATAATGGCTTTTTCGGCGTATGGCCTGATAAAACAGCAAGCAGAAGAGGAAATTGCAGAAAATATTTTATAGTTTAAGAAAATTGGTAATATTTTATAATATTTTTTATGACACAGGATTATTATAAAATTGTTAGTTTTAAACGTTAGTAAGTTAGAAACACTAGGAAAAGATATTTCGGTTGAAACTTATGAATTGCAGTTTAACCCGCTTTCTTGAAAAGTAGTTTAGCCTTGGCGGTTTTGAAAGTGTGCAAAAAGCCTTAATGCTTAACAAAAGCATTGAAAAAGTGGATCAGCGGTTTTATAGTGACAGAAGTATCTCTAATCTGTCTTTCTGTCCGGCAATAAGAGTAAACCTGTGGAATGCGTATCTTTAGTTGACTAAACTGAGGACAATTTGAGAGGAACCTCGAGCAATAAATATTGTATTACAAGCAGATAATTGGAAAGACGAAGATCCTAATGAATATCGCACCCGACATCGGAGATCTGCGATTCTGCGCCCTGGTCTGACCCAATTGCTCTCAGCTATCCCAACAGATAGCAGTACACGGGCGCGAGGAGAGAATCGTAGTGTGCGTCGCGACTTGACGAGCATTGGCGTTGACAAGCCGTTCATCAGCGAACTGTTGGTCGGGTTGCATTTCGCGATCGCCATGGTAAATAGCCTGCAATCACTGCCTAGCCACAGACACGACGAAGCATCCGGCCAGGGCAAGCATGGATCTCCTGTGGTGGGGCCGGGAATGTTCTCCCAGTCGCGAGGTCGAAGTCATATGTCGATCTATCTCGACCGCTATTTGTTTTAGGTTTAGATCACCGAACAGCGGGGGTGGAACTTTGCCTATTCAGCTCATACCATTATCACTTAATCGGGAATACATTGAAGTTTTTATTGACAATCATTTGTTAAATTCAACGGGGTGTAATTAGATATTCACGAATGAAACATTGTAGAAAATTGGTCGGTTTTCATTCAGAACTTCTAGTAAAAGGTACTTGCACCTACTAGTAAACATCCGAAGTCGTCCCTCTCCACAGACGTACGTCAATGCTAGCGACGAAACCGTTCAGAATATTTTCACGAAAATCGATATACCTTTATCTATCTCGGCGAAATCAAGATCCTGCATATTTTAAATAGATATTTTCATTTGGGTGTACGTTACATGAATTCTTAGCATTTTCTAAAATTTGTCAACAAATTACTTTTTATTATTTTTTCTTTGAGTAAAGGACGCTTGAAGAATTGCGCATATCTCGATTTCGTTACTGTAAATTTTCAAAAATTTGAAAAGTTATAAATGATCCCGGGAAGTAACTGCTGTTTTAGCACGAATAATTGTGGGAAGTTTGTCTTTACATAAAGCACCAAAGACAATTTTGAAATTTTCTAAAATATGGATCCAAATTTTGTCTTCATACTTTGTGCTCAAATAGTGCAGTACGCTTATAAAAACGGAAGAGGTCTGATTTTCAGAATGCTCTGAAATTTCGAAATTAGTACTTTTTCAAATGCGCTGTAATTTTGAAGCAGCAAAAGTTTTAAAATAAATGTTTGTATCGCATACAAGATTTTCTTAAAGATAATAATATTTTTTTTATTTTTTGCTGAAAAAGAGCAAATTTTAATTCATAGTATGACATAACTATTTCCATTAAATCCTCCTAGATTTCGAAAATCGCAAAAGATCGAAACAGTCCTACGTATTTTATACTGAAGATAGAGATTTGTGTTTAAAGGCAAACTTGCCATCAATATTACATTTTTCAATTATTTTATATACAATTTTTCAAAAAATTAGGAATTTTGGTGGACTTTCGAGTTAAATTTTGAAAATATCCTTAGGTTTGACAATACTCTCGCATAGTATTTAATTATATAACGCACCGTGATGAATCATAGCACACAACAATTAAAGTGCCTAAGAAGTCATAGACCTTGTACGTTTACCGAGCACAAAATTTAAGTGACTATTTTTGCTCTAATATTGCCCGATGAAAGACAACACACTTCATAGCGACTAGATGTTAACGAGCTCACTCTGAACTAATTAAAACCCCACAATGACCATGACTACTCGTGTTTACCGAGGACAGTGTTGATTTGAACACATATCGTGACTCCCTTCTCTAGGAACAAAAGGTAAGGCCAATTGTACGCGAACAAAACTGGAAATAGCGCATGTAGAATAAGAGGATTACGTAAGGACACAATGGCACCAGGCCCTCACCTCTCCGCGAAATGGCGCAAACGGACGGCGGAACTACGGAGGGTAGTTTGGTTGGCACGTGGCCTTTTCGCTTCGTGGCCCAGATTCGTTATCGATGCTCGACCCCGACGAGGGTAACTTGTTCCCCAATCGGAGGCAACGGAAGCAAAAAGAACACCCCGGGACTCTGATCCTATTACGCTCTATTTGCATTAAATGGGGTTCTAGCAGCCGATCGACAATCTCCACTTTTTGCAGAATTAAAGCTGACTGGAATTTTCTGTCTTAATCGCATTACCTTCCAATTTATGAACTGAACGTGTGGAAAATTTAATATTCTATCATATTGCATTGGTTCAGACGTTCGTAATAATAACACATCTGTGTATGTGTTATATTTTTTAAAATATTGTCGCGGTGTAGGTGCACAATAACTTTCATAATGCAAGCTTGAAAGGAAATTCCTTTCCTGTGTGTGTTTTACAGGGAAGGACCAAATATGAAACAATATTGGTGCTGGCATTACTCTATTCACGTGAGTGGCAACGACAAAACGAAGTTTAATAGTTGGTTAAAATGTCTATTCAAGCCCCACTAACAACTGTGATTACTTCTTTCTAAAACTTCTAGGCGAGTTTCAGGGAAAACGCCGAGTTGTTGCTTTCTGAGAGAAGTCTTGAGATGTTCCCTACTCGGTTATTAGCAGCGTGGTTATTAGCGGTTTACTGGGTACAGCAACTCTGCTTCCCGCTCCTGCCTGCACCTCCTCCCTTCCCCCTCCTCCACCGCCTTCACCAACTCCGCCGCCGCCGCCACCGCGAAGCGTGAATGACGCGGAGGTTGGCGTAGGCGGCAGAGTGCGGTACAAAGACGGCCTGCATACACGCATGCACACACACACATACTCACGTACGTGAAGAGACGGCAGAAGGCGGTGCGAGCTGTGTAGGTCGGTGCCACAGTAGCGCTGGAATTAAGCAAGAGCGTTGCGCCGGTACCGTAACAACGTGAACACGCCGAGGAGAGAAGTGCTGCTCAAAGTGGCGGGAAAGCGGGCGTGAGGGGAAACTCGAGAGGATATAGAAGTGGAACACAAGTCGGCACTTCCTTTCTATCTCCCTACGTAAACACGATTGGTAGTGCACATCTATGTATTTGGCTTGGGTCGTGTTCTGCCCCTTTCGTGAACCCGAGATGTATAAAAATAGCTTCGGCGCATTATGTTTAAGGCCGTAGAACACGCTGCAAAAACAGTAGCAATCTGTAAGAACTATCGGTTGTTGAGATCTACGTAAGAACTATCGATTGTTGAGATGATTCTACGAATCATGAATTTGATTACAGTCGAGTTAAGTGCCCTTTTTAAAGTGTGAAGAATCTCCAGTACTCGTGTCGTTTTTTCAGCATTCAACAGAACACTAACTTTAATTTTTCTGCTGTTATTCCCATAATGAGAACCCCGTTCATTCAGGAAACCACACTAGGCTGGAACATTATGAATAATATTTAATGCTCACACTGGCTTACATATTATGG